CATCACGATGACCATAAATGAAATAATTTTGAAAATAAACAAAAATTGCCTACAATCCCATCATTCTAAACCATCAAATTATTTTATGTCCACATGCAAATCCATTTTCATTTTTTATGGAATTGCAAGAAAGAAATGACTGGAATATATACACCCAATCCTACTCTTACATTCAAAAATCAATTGCAAATACACAGAATAGGGTGACCTGTGTTTTTTCTTTTTTTAAAGTGGGTTGAGTTAAATGCAAGCTCAGGATGAGCCCAGGGTATGGTATTGCTGCCAAACCCATGAAATGTAATCTCAGGTGCATTCATAGCCATATGGTGTCCAATTGGCAGGTGACTGGTCCCTTTGCTTTGGACTTACGGATGCAATTCTGGCATCTCTTTTTAATAACTTTGACAGCAATGAGTAGAAGAGAGAGGTGAGTGAAGATGTCTAGTGGTTAGAGGACTGGGGGAAAAAAATCAGTAGTTAAAAGTGCAAGCTCTGAGGCCGGCCAAGTGGCTCAGTTGGTTAAGAGCTCACTCAAGAGTGTGAGCTCTGAGCAACAGGGTCGCTGGTTCCAGTCACGGCCTGAGTTGAGCAGCTGCTGAGCTGCCAACAGGTGGCAGAATGGCTCAGCTAAAATTAATAAATAAATAAAATAAAGGGGCCGGCCTAGTGGCTCAGTTGGTTAAGAGCTTGCTCAAGAGTGCAAGCTCTGAGCAACAGCAGTTCGATTCCCAGCCCGAGCTGAGCTGTCGCTGAGCTGCCAACAGGTGGCAGGATGGCTCAGTTAAAAAAAAAAGAAAGAAAAAAAAAGTGCAAGCTCTGGAATTAAACTGCACAGCTCCACCACTTACTAGCAGTATGGCCTTGGTCAAGTTACTTGACTTTTCTGTGCCTCAGTTTTTCATCTGCAAAATAGGGCTAATAAAACTGCTTAACTCTGAGGTTATATACTATAAAGTGCTCAGAACAGTGCCTCACACCAAATAAGCACTCACTGAATGTTAGCTATCATTGTTCTTTTCATTATTAGGAGGCTGTGAAGTAGGAGATATGGAAGAAGAAAATAGAGCTATAACTT